ATTCTTTACTATATAATTTTTCAATAAAAAAAATAACTTGCTCCAAATTTGATCACGATTACTAGCTTCTCAACATGTTTATTTCTGTTTAATTTCTTTTTCGAGCAGCAGCTTGTATGAGTGCTATAAGAAATACTGGACCTACACTAACAAAAATGTATACACTTCGTCCAAAGGACATAGCAAAATATTTGTATCAAATTATATTAAATTATCTTCAAAATAGAACATGTACGTAAGGAAAAGGTTATAAGAAAATGTGAAAAAAATAAAAATTCAGAAAAAGAAAACGTGCTAAGTCCTAAAAAAGCCATAAATATTCAACAGCACTATTTTTAAATTACTACCGATATTAAAAAAGGAGAAATCTAAGAAAAAAACTACGTTTACAGATTTTAAAAATATGAAATACAAGAGAAGTTATGAAGTTTTTTGCTTCTCCTGTAAAAATTTCAAAAGAGGACTTGTTACCTTTTCGTACTAAGCTAACGATATATATAAATTTGTTCTACACAAATTGATAATGCAACTAGTTAAATATGGTTAAATTGCTTTTAGGGGCAGGACCTAGTATGGGAGATATGACCAATTATAGACTGATCGTAAAAAATTCTTTAAGCTAAATTTCTGTACATAAATGCTATATTTCAGTCAAATTTTCTATCTATATCGTAATTTAGTAATAAGTAATGTGTGTTCAAGTAATTTTCTGAAGGGAACCTTGCATGAGACCGACCGCATCCATGTTATGGACCGATCGTGAAAAAATCTTGAAATAGAATTTTTGTATACCAAACTAATATTTGTGCCAAATTTTGTATTAATAGCTTTATTTGGTAATGAGTAATGTGCGTTTAAGAGATTTTCGTAAAAGGACCTCGTATGGGAGCTATGATCAATTATGTACATATATAAAGACAAAATTTCAAAATTCTCTATCTATATCATTATTTGGTAATGAATATTGTGCATTTAAGTGATTTTCTGGAGGGGACCTAGTATGAGAGCTATGACCAAATATGGACCGATCGTAAAACAATTTTATAGTGTAATTTATGTACATAAGAGCAATATTTGTGCTAAATATTATATGGATATCTTAATTTAGTAATGAATTATGTGCGTTTAAGTGATTTTTGGGAGAGGACCGAGAATATGTACTTTTGTGTGGGAGGTATATGAAATTATGGACCGATTCTGGCAATTTTCAGTAGGAATCAAGATCTTGTGTAGAAACGAATGTATGATGACTTTCATGGAATTATCTTGCATAGTTTTCGAGAATATTACATCAGAATGTGTAAAAAATGCTTATTTTTTTCGGAGTTGTTTTAAATTTTGATTCATAACTTTTCCCGATGTGAACCGATTTTGCTCATTTTCAATACCAAACTGTACCGGATAATAATAAATATTTTGGCTGAATTTCGTTAATTTCCATTGCTTCGTTTTAACGTGAGCGTGTTTTACACAGACAGACAGACGGACATAGACAAATCGACTCAGAATTTCATAAGGACCCAGAATATATATACTTTGTTGGGTCTCAGATGAATATTTCTTGGTGTTACACACGGAATGACAAACTTATATATCTATCACCACTGATGGTGGTGGAGGGTATAAAAAAGTATAATCTACACACAATATCGCAAACCAAGTATATCAGTTAGGGGTCATTTTAAAGCGGCCATACCCTGTGTAAAGTAAGCCAGAGTGTGTGTAAGTTTGTAAGCACTTTCGAATACAAAATAAGCAACATTGTGTAGTAAGCTATATATTTTCAGTGAGGCATATCGGTAAGAATGTTGGAATAGCTACTTTTCAACACAAAAGTATATTATAAAAAATGTGTCATTTTAAAGGGGTCATACCCAGAGCGGTCATAAGCCAGAGTGTGTGAAAGTTTGTAAGCACTTTCGAATACAAAATAAGCAACACAATATCAATGTAGTAAGCTATATATTTTCTGTGGGGTATGTGATACATGTTGCTATTAGTTAAATATTTTACATATTATTGTTAAATAATCATAATGTACATAGATTTAGTATTTCAAAAAGATGTAAAACAAAAAATGATTGAACGTGTCTCAGATCACTTGATTAAGAAATGTGGAAAAAATTAACTTATTTTGGAAAATATTTTAATAAATCTATTTTATTACATAAAATATATCTACTCGAATATAAGTTTTTGTCCTTAAAAGATATCGTGAAACTGATCTTAGCTATGATCGAAAAAATAATTTTTACACGTCAGTTTCATAACTATATTTTCAGTTTTTTTAAATCTTTGTTAAACAAATTTTTAAATTTTTGAAATATCACCAGGGTATTTATGGTCAATAGATTAGGAAATAAAACAGTGGAAAAATTAGGTCAATGCCTCTTATAGTTAAACTGTACCTGCGATTTGAATTCTGCAAATTTCGCGAAAAACTATATTTTTTATACTCTTCACCTTCGTGAGAAGGGTATATATAAGTTTGTCATTCCGTTTGTAATTTCTATAATATAATTTTCTGACCCTATAAAGTATATATATTCTGGATCCTTATAGATAGCGGAGTCGATTAAGTCATGTCCGTCTGTCTGTATGTTTGTTGAAATCAATTTTCTGAAGACCCCAGATATCTTCGGGATGCAAATCTTCAATAATTCTGTTGGACATACTTTCGAGAAGTTTCCTATTGAAAATCACCAAAATTGGTCCATAAATAACGGAGATATGAGCAAAAATCTGAGACAACCTCCGAAAATGTCATTAAAAATTCAAGAAAAAGAACAACAACAACAACAACAAAAAACCTGTTATTGGTTTTTTCAACAGATGTGAAATGAGAAAAAACTCACATCTGTATAAATGAGCAACAACAACACTGTGTATTGGAAAAAAGATGTATGTGTGGATGTATTTGGTTTCATTGCGCTGTGTATTTTGTTTTTGTTTGTTTTTTTTTTTTGTGGGTTCATTTTGTATGTTTGAATGCTGTTGGTTTCATTGCATGGTGTATTTTGTTTTTGTTTTTTGGGTATTTCGTTTTGTATGTTTGGATGGCTGTTGGTTTCAATTCCTTTTGAATTTTGTTTTTTCTCTGTTTTATTTCGTGTAGCGTTGTTGTTGTTTCTTTTGTTTTGCTATTGATATAATAAGGATATACATACCTACATAGTCAGAAAAATAAAATAAATATAAATTTTATAAAATTAATAGGTAGGTATGCATATTTTAAATACACTATGGTGAATGGTATATAAGATTCGGCACAGCCGAATATAGCACTCTTACTTGTTTTGTAATATTTTAGAAAATATGTCCCAATTCTTTACTGTTATACATTTTAAGCAAAATATTTACAGAATATTATTTCTCAAATAATATAAAATATGTCCCTGAAGTTATATATAAATCGAGAAATTCTAAGGCGTAAACTTTGAAGGTCAAATTTTGAAATATTTAGAAATTCTCATTGAAACATATCGTAATATTATTTATTTGTTGACCACATTTACTAACATTATAACAATTTATAGCATATGGTCCGATATTTAACCCATTAGATCCCAACCATCTTAAAATCAATAAATTTAAATTTTTTGTTGCAAAATATATCTTATTATGGGTTAATTTAAAATAAAATTTAAAAACAAAAAATTTTTAAATTTTGGAAATGCGATTTTTGGGGTGTACTCGGAAGGGTACATCGGGACAATATGTGTATAAATACAAATAAATAAAAAAAATTTAAAAGCAATTTTTATTATTTTTTTTTATATTTTGGTACTTTCCTACATAAAAAATCTAATCAATTAGGTTAAGAATTTTTCCATTAGATTAATTATGAAATGTATTGAAATTCTCTGTGAATTACCGTATTCAGTGCACTTTTTCGACACTTTATTGATATTTGTGCTAAAATAAATTAATTAAAATTCATCATATGGGATGTATTCTTCACTGACACTACTGTCATACACTTCCCATTCACCAAAAGTGTTGTCTTGTAGATCCTCCAGTAATTAACTGTATTTATCAATTCCTTTTTCATCAATTTATTGGCAATATTTGGAAAAATAATGGAAAATGTAAATGTGAATTGATTTTACTATAAAGATAATCAGTAGCACCTACAAGCGTTCTAAAATATTTACCAAAAAGGACATACACATCCTTAATAGATATTTAAGGTATATGAAAAAATAGGCATGGGTAGTCCCATTGTACCCAAACGAGTACACTAATATTTAAGCTTATAAAATTAACTTAAAAACTAATTTTTAATTATTTTTTTAACAAAATCCTAATGGGCTGATCTGTTTACTTTATTTTTCTGTAAAATTCTAATCCATTCAACTCAAAATGTATGAGTTTGACATCAAATTGCAATGAAAGGGGCGAAAAATTGAAAAACTCTGTTGACAAAAAAAATTATTTAAAATTTACCGTTATGTTTTTATGACTTTATAATTCGGTACATTTAATCTTTAGATCCTAAAGTAATGTTCCAAAAATCAAATTTTACAAAAAACTGTATTATGGATAATCTAGCATTATAAAACCGGTTGTTTTTTAGTACCCAAGCGAGTACAGTTGGAACGGATGGGTTAAAATTACAACAAAAAAATTAGAATTAAATGTTCTTTTAATTTCGATGTTAAAAACTTTTAGAAGCAGTATAAATCCAATATTTGGATGTCAAAAATAGACCACATTCTTTCAATGAAACGCTTATTTATTTTTCACCAAAATTTGATGCACTTTGAATACATATGTATGTTCTCCGATTATGTATCTGTTTTCTCACTTTTAACTGGGTTTTCATTTGTAAGGATATATATATTTGGTTTATAAAAGCGAAAATATGTAATAAAGTATGATTAAGATGTCGTTTGTAAAGTATGACATCAATTATTTTTGCTGGATTGTTTTGGAAAATAATTTTTATACAAAACAAAAATTAAAACTTTTAATTAATACTTTTTTATTTCTCTTTTAAGGGGAATTTTAAGCAGTTTCCCTGATATTTTGTCGACACACAAAGGAGCTATGCAGAAAAAAAAAGAATGTGAACGTCTCGCTGCTGAACAAAAGATGAGTAATTCCCAAATGGCTGATGTAAACCGACGAACTGATATTATTTCCTATGCCGTTATTGCAGAAATGTCTCATTTTAGAATGGAACGTGAAACGCACTTAAAACAAACTCTCAAATCACTTATTGCAGAGCAGATCAAATTTTATTCGAGTATTGTTTCGAGACTACAGGAAGCTTATTCGCAATTTGATGATTGAACTAAAAATCGCACACTATTTTTTTTAAAGAAATACGTTTATGTACGTTTAAATTCGTATATCCATATATTTTCATATTCCAATTTTTAGTATTTACAATTATAATTGTTTGCAAGATGTATTATGTAATAAATTATATGTACATTGTTATAGGTATGCACGTATCTGTCTATGTATATTGTATAAGTTTATATCATGTATTTTAAAGTGTGAAATATAATTATATATCTATGTAATATATTTGTATGTATAAACTAATCCTAATTAATTACGAACTTATTTAACCGCTTATTTAGCCACACTAGATCAGTTTGATTTTAGTGAAAACAAAATTATCAGTTTTTGTAAAAACACAATTATTGATGAAAAATAAAATTTGTTTCCTGTATGCCATAACAGTAAGTAAAAACAAGTAAAAGTTTTACATTCGGCTGTGCCGAATCTTATATACCCTTCACCATGATGTGTTAAAAAACAGTCAGTACGAATTTTAGTACAAAAAATCAAAATATACCAGTTGTAAAACATACTCCGGACTTTACATGCATAATTTCATACTTCTGGGTTCAATATTATAGAGAATTCAAAAAGTACCTGTTGAAGATCAATCAGCCGCCATTGTCGGCATTGTAAACGACCTGATCGATTTCGACTAAAACTGACACTTCTGTATAAGAACGACCTGTTCTAAGCCAACACAAAGGAAAAGAAGAGAGGACTGATTACTTGTCGTCGACACAGCAATAGCCCCAATGGCATATGTAGGACATGTTATCATGGCCCCCGTTATAGAGACGATGACGAGACGATAAAGTTTGTCCAGAGAAGACCGAGTAGTGGTCTGCTCCACTTTTTTCCACCAGGCTAAGGCAACATAAGTCTGAATGGACTATATTATGGTATTAAAAGTCCATGAGATCATTTTCGGTTTTACAGACATATAATGCTCTACAGACTTGCATGTGAGTTCCAATTTACGGTTTTGTATTTAGGTATTTAACTTCCTCAGAGAACTTAATAATAGACCCGTTAAGAGTCGGCTCAACAAGTCTCAGAGATCTACGGCTTGTAAATTGTACAAGGATAGTTTTTGAGGGGTTATATATTAATTGCCTGCTGCATCCTTTCATCGAAGCCTGTGATAGATATGACAAGGTCGTCGGCATAACCATATGTTCGGAAACCTAAGGCATTCAATTTTTAAGTAGACTACCGATTACCAGTGTCCATAATAATGGCGATAATACGCCTCCTTAGGAACAGCCTCTAGTGGCCCATATGGTTCTCGATTTTCCACAAAGGTGATGACTTTGATATCTGGATTTCCAGAGTCCAGTTACTGAATAATCTAGACATTTGTGCTACTATGATATCTCTACCTTGTTGCAGAAGGCAGGGGAAAATGTCATCAAGTCCTGGAGATTTAGATATATGGGCTAAAAGTCGAAGAGCATTCTTCACTAAAAATTCTTCCAGCCAGAAGATTCGGTGTACGGTTCAAAGTACAGAGACCATTTGTTTGGTTTTGTTATAAGGCTCATTATACCCTCATGGCCTTGGGGAACTGGTCAATTTTGTGGCAATATTGGCGCCACGATTTACTAATTTAATGGTTGTAGTCAGTGAGTGCATCTTTGTATGTGCACCAGCCACCTGTCCGTTTTGCTCTGCTAAACAAACTTCTTGTATTTCTTTTCAGTTTTTCTAGTTTGTTATTCCACCAGGGTACATCCCTTTTTGGCTTTCTAGAATTTTAATGACAGCACATTGTACTCAAAGTCTATCTTCTTGTCTTTATCCAGAGTTAATCGGTATTTGTCCCAATTCGTGTTTCTTGGATTACGATATTGTTGTACATCTCCTACGTGGCTATCAACGCCAAATAATATATATTTATGATCTGACATAGATATTTCATTAGAGTCGTGCCAGTTAGAAAAAGATAGATTGTTACTAGATAATGTGAGATCTAATAATATTTCTGAAATTTTGTCTAATAATATTTCTGAAAGTGGGCTCATCACCCCTGTTTAATATGTTAATATTATTGCTACATATACATTCAATTAAATACTCACCATGTTTTTTGGTGTTTGTACTTCCCCAGATTTTGTGGTGGGCGTTTGCATCGCAGCCTATTATCCACCCACGGTAGGCTACCAGTCTAGACGCCTCAGGAATGGGAGCCACATCGACATTGCCTAGTAAGTATACCGATGCTGGGACAATTTAATGTTCTCCCCTCTGTGATGGTACTCTGATCATTACTGCTACTTCTGTTGGAATTCTGAAATAGGTAAATACGTAAATTCCTTCCTAACAAGAAGGGCCACTCTGGGCTCTATTGTATTTTGATTATATATCAGATTACCTTGGTCGGTTTGAGATGCAAGTTCAACTGCAGGCATCTGATGTGCCTTGTGTTATAAATGTTGCTGGCGAGTTGAGACATTTTAATGTCTGCCAGACCGCTTCGCCGTTTTTCTGCTACGACTGTACCTTTCATCGGACTAACTATTTTCGCAGAGGGCATTATGGGATTTTTACTATCCCTGCAGTCTTGCTTCGACGAATCAGGTTTTCCTTCCTTAGGCGTCCGGGTTTGGTAGGCATCTTCGAACAGGATGGCTTATCGACCGACAAAGATGGAATTTTTAGATTCATCTTGCCGGTCTTGGCACATTCCTCTTTGATGGCTACGTTCACCTTTTTGGATATGTCGTTCGTCGTTTTGGGTCAATCGCAAATGTAATTTCTACCATGTTACTTTTGCTGACTCGGTTCAGTACCTTCCAATACTCCACTGACAAGTCAGCATTTTGTTCTTATATTAGGGACGGCAAACTGGATGTTTGCGTTTCGGGCTTTTGAGGAAAATATCCCACATATATATCAGCCCTAGGAACTTCATCTTCGGACAGAACTTGAAGTATGACTCCAGTGCAAGGCTTCAGCACAGGACTTGTTCTCTAATCCACTTGGCTGAGCTTTTCTCCGACTCCACAATTTTGTCCAGGACTACCGTCTGAATCATCCTTAGCTTTTCGTAAGACCACATTTCCGTACGGAATTTAGACGCTTTTAGCGCTGCGCCACTGAGTTTCGACCTTTCTGTGGAGGGTGGTGCCTCTGGTTCTATGGCATCCGGATTAGCTGCGATAGAGGATTGCAGATTAAGAACAGATTCCTGTAACGCATATTCATCCGTTCGAATGTGAACCTCTGTAAAGTTAAGGCATAAGTCCAACAACATCAAGTTATCATCGAATGAAATATGAGCATTTAGATCCGAAGATCCTTGCTCGGGCTCAACTAGGTCCATTGGGATCTGTCCTTATTCAATATCTTTGTTTTTTGTTCTTCGCCACGGATGGTCGGTCATTGGAATATAAACAGACTATGGCAGTACCAACTGGTTACCAATATTACACATTCATTTCCCTGTAGCACTTCACCTCCAAATTAGGGCAATATCAAGTGATAAAGTTAAATCTAAAACCGTATTGGATTGGAAGAAAGCTTTAACTGAATACTCTTCATCATATGGGTACCAGGTCACTCGGGAGTGGTCGGCAACGAAAGAGCGAATGTATTAGCTTTAAAAGACAGGGAGCTCGAGGTAATTAACCTGACGATCGCAAAACCATTCGACGCAACGAAGGCTGAATTTTAAATAATGGGTGGGAGAACCCCGGTGGGTAGAACCACACAGATCCTATGGGGTGACCCTAATGAGAACAAGTGTAGCAAGTCTGAGGTTAGTATGATGGGACGTATTCTGAGTGGACACACACGATTACGGGCACAGATATACAAAATTGGACGTACGGATTCAGACAGGACAGGACAGTGAAACTCTGGATCACTTTCTTTGCCACTGTCAAGCATTCGTCGAATTTAGATCCAAATATCTTGGCAGTGATACTATTCAGGATATAACATTCCTCACGAACATTGATAAAATTATTAGGAATTACGTCCAGGAAACTGAGTTTCTGAACATTGAAGATAATACATTCAGTTAACACAATGTTTTTAGCAACATTTTTCTTCCATGAAAAGGAGCGCACCACAGGACCGATATTTGCCTAGGTGTATTTCTTCAGATTTTATGTAATATACATCCTCCTATCGACCTTACCTAACCTAGTATCTCCTAAATAATTATATTGTGAAATCTAGAACAGTCTGGTCACCTTTTCGTGTTTTGACGTATTTTCGTGTGTCTCGCATTTATTATACAAAATATATTCGAATTTTCATGTTTAATGTCAAAGAATATATAAAGAAGTGTTTTATTTATCATATTTAATCGTCCGTCTTTTATGAAAACTCGGGGTATTCTGTGTCAGTGCTAAACTGTGTAATTTTAATAAATATTACAATTGTGATTTTTACATATATAAAAGTTGTTCACATCATCTATGTGCTTCATTCTGATATTTGTTTTTGTATTTATCATATGTCTTTATTTTTTGTCTGTCCTGGCAATTCTGAAACTGTATTATCTACTGTTACTGATTTTTGTGGTTTGTGTCCTTGATAATCTAACAAATGACATTGCCATTTTCAAATATTAACTTCCTGTGCTGCCCATCTATTATTAATTATGGAATGTTCAAATGGAAACTGACAAATTTCGGGAAACGATCGTATGGTATCCTGCTGGCTATGTGTTGGGTGTTATCACTTAAAATGCAGTGTCTTAAAAGCTCGGGATGCTGATGCCTTAGCTGATCCTCAAAAATCCTTACACTGGACTTGTCCAAGCTGTAGAAATATAAGTATTGACTTTTACAATCTTTTTAAGAGTTCCAGAGATGAATTTGAAAAGATTCATAAGGAATTTATTGTATTGAAATCTATTCTTGAAAATTTTGGTGAATTATTTACCAAATATCCAAATTTGGAAAAATTCACATCTTCAATGAATATCATGCCCCCTAGACGGAATAAAACTAACTCTGCTTTTGTTGCACCGCATATGTCCTGTACAAAAATTACCGCTTCTATCTCCTCGCCTGATGCCGTAAACACTTTTCCCATTGCGGATATTAATTCAGTATCTAATCTGAACATTAATCCCTCCTTCCCTCATGAAATTAATGATTCGGCATTAGATATCAATTCCTGTTCTCCAATGGAATCTACGACTCTGAACACGATGTCTGTTAATACAGGTACAACATCTATGCCTGTCACTTCAGAAAATCCACCAGCTTTTATCCAACCTGCTTAGAATTCTTCTACTGATATCCATCCTCTTAGAATAATTCCACCTAAAAACAAATTTGTATTTCCCGCTTCGCTTTTGACACTTCAACCGATGATACTGAATATTATATTAAACATAAATTGAATCTTGATGCCGACATTATAGTCTATAAGTTTAAATA